AAAAAAAAACACTTTAAACTGAAATGTGTGTATGATCATTCTCCAAAGTTTGGGTTATCTTGGTAGGTTTGCATAAAAGATAAAAGTTACCCTCTACTAGGGCCGCAGATTGATTTTTCTCCAGATATTCACAGATGTCTCTGGTCAACCCCCAGCAGGCAAACGACATTGATTCTACGTTGATTCAACGTTGATCCACCAAAATTAACGTTGATTCAACAGTGAATCAATGTCGTTTGTCTGCTGGGCCGATGACATTTTTCTGCTCCCATTAGAGAAAAGTGCACATATTTAATCTGCGACCCTTGTAGAGGGCACATAAAAGTTGTTCTTTCCAAAATATGAGCCAAATGGCCCCTGAAGCATTGGAGACACACTTGCATATGTCCAACAAACTGTTAATTACTCTAACACGTTCATCTCTGGGGAATTTTTCTGATTTTTGCTACCATAGTTGCTTTCAATTCAATCATTTGAGGGTTGTTCTGGTACACATTATCCTTGAGATACCCCCATGGATAAAAATCCGGAAGGTTCAAGACCTGTGAATGCAGTGCCACTCAACGTCACACTTCCTGCTGATATGTTTTTTTTTTCTTTTTTTATTTTTAGGGGGGGGGGGTCACTTTGTACTATGAATGTTGAAGATGGGTTAAGTTTTTTCGTCATGTAAAATTGGCGCTACCTGTTAGTCATTACAATAACCAGTAAGATGAACATTCTTTCAATTTTAACACCAGTTAGAACCATGTTCTAATGTGTTAGAAGCCTTGCTATGCTTCAGCTTATGTAAGCCGAAGTTTCTTATAAATAATACTATAATCACCTGGGTTTCTGCAAATATGTACAATCTGTAACTAAATATTTCAAATAGTTACAAAGAACTACAAGGAGGATAACTTACTTCCTAGTACATAAATAACCTTTTTAATATCTATGGCAAATCAATAAGTAATTTCTCTTCAAAATGTAATTTATCATAGGTGTGTGTGTGTGTGCGTGCGTGCGTGCGTGTGTGTGTGAATGTATAATTGTTAAGATAACCCAGCCTTACAATTTTGTCACATTACTTGAAACCTATGTGACAAAAAATTTTTGGCACTTATGGGAGAGATGACAGGAACAGACACCAGTGGCCTCTACTGTCTGAGGAACTCAAACCACAATTCCCATCAAAAAGTTCTTTAAACAATCACTTAGGCTTGTGAAAACAGTATTTTGACACTTATGATAAATAATACTTTTTCCTTCATTTTTGCAAGGACAGATTGCACATCAAGCTACTTCAAGTCAAAACCTTTTGAAACACCAATAGCACAGGGGTGATAACGTAAGGTACATTAAGTTTTTCAAGAAAGCAGGAAGGGAGAGAGAGAGAAAGAAACTGTAAGCAATTAATCACTTTCAATACTCTTTTGTTACTATTGAAAAACTAGAGGATCAGAGAGGCGATACCGCCTCCGAATATTGTACCACCAGCTGGAGCAAGCGCATTCGTATAGACCCCCACATACACAAAATAAGGGACACAGCCACCAGTTTTGTGCTTGACAAGCTGTAAAAATGCAATCAACAAGAATTTTTAAACTTTTGCAAAAAATATATATGGTACAATCAAATTTAAGTTCTTCGTAAGATAGGTCAAGGGTCAATTTCAAGGTCACAGTAAATTGCCAGTATATGACTTCCTATTCAAGTTCAAGAGTAACTATGGACCTATCTCTGCCAGTTTTGGAGACAAAAGGAAAGCAAAATTTGCAAAGTTCNATTTTCTTAGTTGATCATATAAAAATGGTAGCAAACTGTTAATTTTGTTTTATGTTACAAATTGTTAAAAATGGGAAAAAAAAAAACATTTCAGAACAGTGCTGTCTTGTTTCCTTATAATATACAAACTTTGTGGCATATTTGTTCCAGTGTCCAACTGCAAGCAGATAAACCCCTGTACCATCAGCATATTAATAGATATTAGAATGTTTTAAAACTTGCACTTTTAGGCATATGTATAGTGAATGTTTTTTTTCGTTTGTAGAAATGATTAAGACTTGCATGGCACTTCTCCAACTATAACTTAAAACTATTTTAAAATTCTGAAAGAAAAAAGAAAAGAATAACTTATCGCCTTAATTAGTGCTCTTTGATATGTATGGATTCCCATGATAGCATATTGAACAATGATGCATGTTGAACATAATGGAATTATTTTAGATTTGCATAGATCCTTAATGAATACCAATTTTGCCCAAATTGAATGGGGTTCTTTTAATGGGAGCAGCATTGTTGCCATCTCCCATTCTAGTATCCACCAATTGACTTTGCTATTTAATTATGCTAAAATATTTATTTGATTCAGGTGATCTTAAACTGGTTGAAAAACCACAGCCGGTGACTATGGGTGCACATGATTTCTGCAACATCAAAGCCAACGTTAAAGTAGCCTCCACTGAAAATGGAATCATCTTTGGAAACATTGGTAAGTATGTTCACAAGCAAAAACAAGAATTGTGGACATGTGCATGTTTAAATGGATAACAAATCTTTGTATGAAATTCATGTTTCACAATCAATACATTGTGAATAACTTAAATAAATATATTTGAGCTCCGTGTTTCACAATAAATGCATTGTAAATAACATATTCTCTTTTACCACCAAAATGGCAGTCATCAGAATTATTTTGGGATCTGTCTGTGCCATCAGACCACTAACTTTCATAGATGACTATACTCAGTAATAATCTCTTAAAAGATTATTTAAAAAAACATGGACTAACTATGACTGTCAAAATGAATTCATTAACCAATGGCAAGTGTAGGAAAATTGTTTTTTACTCCAGGAAATCCAAATTTTCACTAAAATTAATTTATTATGTATTCAGATTTGACTTAAAATCTGTAGATGACTTAAATGATAATTTTCCTTACTTAGTATATGATGTGAGTGGAGCAGCAAGTGACCGTAACTGTGTAGTGCTGAATGACATCCATATAGACATTATGGACTACATAGTGCCTGCCTCATGCACAGACACAGAATTCAGACAGATGTGGGCTGAGTTTGAGTGGGAAAACAAAGTCAGCGTCAACACTAATATATCTGATTTGAAAGAGTATCTGGAACACTTGATCAGCTCAACCAACATGAAATGTCTCACACCTGAAAAGGTAAACTTGGGCTTCAAAATATCATGTACTTCAGGAAATTGGTAAATCCTGTTTGTTTGCAGGTAAAGGTTGGTATGTGGTATTATGAAACCGTATATTGTAGTAAGTGGGTGGCAGTTTGTTTTCACTGATATTGCTGTCATCATTTTAAGTAATGACATTATGCATATTGACTGCAAACCCCCAAAACTGATTTATATTTGATACATATTTTTCTGTTCTTGGCTTTATTCAACATAATAGTTATAGACAATGGTTTTATTATTACTCCCAGTTAAAGTACCATGTTAAGTAATCCATTATATAAAAAGCATTAACTTGGCATCTAGGATGTAAATGCAGCATGCTTTTGAAGTCTTTCACCAAGAACTATTTCACCTTTATGACAGCAATTTTAACATGTACAGTATTCAAATTTTTTTATTTTCAAGTGAAAATGAAAACACTTATCCCTGTTGATACAAATTCATCTCTGCATTTACCAAGTGTTTGAGATCATGGCCATAGGCTTAGTCAAACTTCTCATCGCAATTACAGTAATTGAAGTTGATTAAAACAATTGGATACAATGCTTGTTTCTTGCAGGCTTTGGATGGAGAGTGTGGTTTCATGGCTGCTAATATGTATGCTAAATCTATATTTGGAGAGAGTGCTCTTGCCAACATCAGTGTTGAGAAACCAGCTCAGCCTGATGCCCCAGTGACTGGACACATACGAATCAGAGCAAAAAGTCAGGTAAATATATGAGGAACAATAGACAACTTTTTTTATGTACAGACACAGATGTGTCTGTACATATTGCCATCACCTGCGTCTGTCATCGCCGTCGCCGATGCCGATGCCGTCGCCGGCGCCGTGCACTTTCCTTGTAAACACGATAAGTGGAAGGCAGTTTCACTTTTTNGACCTATTTTGCATCTTTATTTTCTGTTTTTTGTCTGTACATTTGACAGCTTTGCTGCCTTGTTCATAATTTCATTGCCCTTTTTGACATTAAACTTATTCTTGCATTTTAAGGCATTTTGTTTGTTGAAAATCAACTGTTTTAACTTATAGATAGTTTCACCCAGTTATATTACCAGAATTTATATCTTAGTTACACATTTTGTTAAAAAAATCATATGCACTGAATTCTTTTCATTTGCAGGGTATGGCATTGAGTTTAGGAGATAAAATCAACCTTTCACAGAAAAAGCAGCTCAAACCTCAAGGGATGTAGAGCAAGATTGAACTAGAAATTTAGCTCTTGATAGACTTTGCTACTGAAACCTTATAACATGCATTATCTTCAGTTTAATAAAGACATTGAGTTGATTAAGATTAAGACTAAAATGAGTCAAGTTATATCCTTATTATGGTTTATGAGTGATTAATTGTGATGTCTCTGGTGTAAGAAAAAAACAATCTGTAACACATATATACATATGAATTAGATGGTTTGTATTGAATGCTTTGTATTACATTATCGGTGTTAGCCTGTAGATAATTACTGAACTTTAAATAGGGACTGGGAACTCAAATTATAATTACTGTTGTGTATGAATGTGTTTAACTTTAAAAAATGTTTATCATCTGGACTGGAAATTGTTTATAGACAAAAACTATGATTACAAAAAATTAAATGTTCATTTTTAAGACTGATGGAGTTACATTTTCTTTAGTTATTATTATTATTACTATTATATGGTTATGAGCAGATTTAAGGAGATGTAGGACAACCATCTACTTTTTAAAAGAAAATAAATTTCTTGAATGTGGAAAGGCAGAGTGTGTGATACAAGGAGGTAAAATTGAGTATAACATTTCTGTAAAATGACATTTCATGTGGATGCTTAATATTTGTGCTATTTTATTGTCTTCTGTCAACAGGATATATTTTTCTGAGCAGTCCCTTTCTGATATAAAATTTGAAGTGATACTGAAATAATGAACTCTGCAAAATTCATCCACTGAAAAGGAAGTTTGGGACAGTATTCCAGGAGTTCCATGTGAAAATATAACATTAAACAGAATTTTGGAAGACTACAGTATATACAAACAGAAAAAAACAACTATCATGGAACTTGATCATGCTATTCATCAATTAAATATTTTATCCATTTGCTCCTGTCTCCAGGCTCCTGATAACCCCATATATATCATAAATGTGTTCTCTTACTTCAGCTCTTGACTAAATGCTAGAAAAACAAATGATGCTACAGTATTTCTCTTCAATTCTACATTGGACAGCATCTTTTCTGCATTCCGTTTTTTGAGAGTTAAAAATAAACTTTACATGCTGACAACTTCACATTCATTCTGAAGTGATGCTTGACCCTCCTTCCAATGAACACAGCCATCCCAATTTTCATGGTCCCACAGAGGACGCAGAAAGGACACCATCCAGTGTAAAGTGGGTTTAACAAACAGTTACTAAGTTATTGATATAAGAATGGTATTTGAGCTGCAAGAGGCAAGTGGAAAGAATGTTCTTTGTAAATTGCATACCTGAATTCAACACAGACTAGTTAACACACTTCATAAATGGACTTCTGAAATAGTTTAATCTTATCTATATTCAGTTTGCAATGCGAGACCTGAATTGAAGTCCTAATACTAAGTAAGACAGTTTCAAGTTCAAAAGAAAAATATATAGTAGCAGCTGTTTTGGATGGTACTGTAGTACAATATGTATAAGATGAACAATTATTTTTTTATAAGTCATATAATGGATGTGTTCTCTTTGCAGTCAACATGGCCAACACAGAGCAGGGGTGTTATACCCTCATCAATATTCCATCTGATTCAGAGCCACCAACCGAAATGAAATTGAAAGAGGGCCTTGGTAAATAAGAAGTTGCAAGTTGACTTCAGTTACAGTGCAATCATTTAGATACAGATTAAACTTTTCTCTGTTGACTAGTTTTAGGGGAAAACTTTATTGATTTCGATATGATTTGTTGATAAAATGCTAAAAATGTCTATTTTAGAAAATCATAATAAATACTTCTGTGTTGGCCTCTGTGTTGGACAAATGTAATAAATACTTTTTATACTTGTATCAATGAGAATAATTGTATGTGTGCTGTAGTATATGAAATTTAATGGTGATAACTTTCAATTGAAATGCATAAAAGACCCCTGCCCCCTAAATAAATAGGAAAAATTTATACATTTTTTGAATTTAGAGAAGAATATATCAGAGAAGAGAGAGACAAAAATCATATTGCAAGGTAAAACTGATTTTGTCCATAGTTTAAGAAGGGAAAGATTTTAGGAGATATTTTACTTTGAAAAATATGCACAAAGTATTTCTTTTCTCAAAGCCAATAGGATGAGTCTTGAAGTGTTTGTAGTCATAGATCGCTTTCTCATTTGTAGGATCTCCAGCACCTCAATGAATTTATCAGGGGGCCAACCCTCAGATTCCTCTGTAAGTTGAAAGAACCAGAACTTTTAGAGCCCCTCATGCCAGCTATCAGAGCTTGTCTAGACCATAGACACTCTTATGTTAGAAGAAATGCAGTGTTGGCAATTTATACAATCTACAGGTAGGACTGATTTTTGTTTAAAAAAAAAAAGTAGTGAGAAAGACTGAAACAAAATGTAGAGATCAAAGTTTTGTGAAATAGATAATTGATATTATTGTACCACCAGCGTAGGCGCTCCGCCGGCTCCGTAACCATGTCACCGTTACTGCTTCTCCTCCTAGCCAAGAAGGGCCTGCGTACCCATCTCTTGGATTTAGGTCACGTATAATCTCAACTTGTTCCACGTAAAATTTGGGCTTCGTCAGTGCTGGGGTCTGGGTGTGGCGCTCATTGCAATGCACCCTTGTCCAAAAATGGCAAAATTAAATGCTAATTATCTACCCTATGGAAGGAATTATGGGAAAAATTTCTACAGACGGCTGACCAAAAGTCACATGTGGAGATTTCAAATATGCCCTTGGATTTGACCTTTGACCTTTATTTCAAGGTCAAACGGGCCAAAATTTTCAAAAAGCGACATTTTTTTCGAAAAAAAATTATTTGCGCTGATATTCAGAAACTACACAGACTTAACCAATAATATTATTGGAAAGTGTTGCCCTTCGGGTCATCTTTCATTTCCGTGAATTTGGGGTCAAACAGTGCATTTTTACGGGAGTTGCGGCCATAAGATACCGAAATTGAAAACTGTCTCTAATTCGGGAACCGTTTATGCTAGAGACCCATTCTATTTTGCATTTTGTAGAGCATGTAAAGCCCAACACATAGTGTGGTCTCCGTTTTTTTGTATTCCATACAGTTTTGGAGTTATGCTGTATCAAAAAATACATTGTGGTGGTGAAAGCAAAATGTGCAGTATGGTAATGGATAATAGATTTTGAACCCTGGGAAAATAAAACATAGGGCTTGGCGAGGCAGACAATTTCTGGTCAAAAATGACATTATTTCATGAAATTTGTACATCTGGAACTTCTGAGCACCTCCCATTTCAAGAATTTCAACCAAAATGTCCTTTTCTTTATTTTAATTAATTTTTTCTGTAAGAAATTTATGGCACATTATTGTAACTCCAAAATTATAATATTTAGTTCCTTTTATCTCCAAAACTGGCAAAGATAGGTCCATAGTTACTATTAAAGTTGAATAAGAAGTCACATACTGGCAATTTAATTGTCACCTTGTAATTGACCTTTGACATACTTTTCACCATTAACTGAACTTTGCAAGTTTTTGTTCCCTTTTATCTCCAAAACTGGCAGAGATAGGTCCATAGTTACTATTGAACTTGAATAGGAAGTCATATACTGGCAATCTAAATGTGGCCTTGAAATTGACCTTTGACCTACTTTTCATCATGAATTGAACTTTGCAAATTTTGGTTCCCTTTTATCTCCAAATCTGGCAGAGATAGGTCCGTAGTTACTATTGAACTTGAATTGGAAGTCATATAATGGCAATTTACTGTGACCTTAAAATTGACCTTTGACCTTTTTTTTACCATGAACTGAACTTTGCAAATTTTCATTCCCTTTTATCTCCAAAACTGGCAAAGATACGCCCATAGTTACTATTGAACTTGAATAGGAAGTCATGTACTGGCAATCTAACTGTGACCTTGAAATTGGCCTTTGACCTACTTTTCACCATGAACTGAACTTTGCAATTGTTTGTTCCCTTTTATCTCCAAAACTGGCAGAGATAGGTCCATTGTTACTATAGAATTTGAATAGAAAGTCCTAAGAGGCAATTCACTGTGACCTTAAAATTGACTTCTGACCTACTTTTCACCATGAACTGAACTTTGCAAGTTTTTGTTCCCTTTTAACTCCAAACCTGGCAGAGATAGGTCCATAGTTACTATTGAATTTGAATAGAAAGTCATATACTGGTAATCTTACTCTGACCTTGAAATTGACCTTTGACTTATTTGACACCATAAACTGAACTTTGCAACTTTTTTAATGCTTATATTTCAAAACTGGCAAAAACTTTGATTGTACCATTTTTAGAGCTTGTCAAGCACAAGACTGGTGGTGGTGTCCCTTTTTTTTTTGGGGGGGGGTGTCTTGCAAGACTGATGCAAAATGCACTTACTCCAGCTGGTGGTACAATATCTGGAGGAACAAAACACTGTTTAGTATCCCATAAAAAAATTTTAATGCAAATTTGTAAGCAAAGCATTTGCATAGAGATTTGACAGATGTTATGATATGGTTCCTGTCCTTCAGGACTTGATGGTAAAGTCATTGCATGTAACACATGTATGAGAGACAGTTATAAGTGTTGTGAACCATCCAAAATGACTTTCACTTAAATTAATAATTGTACTGAATTTCAGTGTAATGACTTAACTAATCTATGGCCTCTGTCATGACTCCAGGTCCGACTGAGTCTTTCACTTTCTGTTCACAGAGAAGCATAACAGAACAACCTCACATCTTCAGTTCCAAATCTTAAGTATGTTTATTATGTACAAAATGCAGACTTTATACACATTTTATCTACAGGGAATCTATATGCATGCTACAGTGGCAACGACTGATTTACATACTTTTTATTATGCAATGTAAAGATTTTTACTTATCAGATTTAAAATATCCATTTGTCTCTACACAGAGAAAGATAAATATTCTTGCAAGACTGATGCGAAGTGAATGATAATATGCTGACTGATTCTAATAATAAATAAGTAAATAATTAGTGAGTTTTCCACACGCCTTGAATGGGCCTTAACAAAGGCAAAACACAAAGAGTTGGAAAATGTTTCTTTACTGTACAACTATCAATGCATAAAATGCCTATACCGATATTGTAATGTCTGACATGAATATAAATTTTACTGCTTAGCATATAAAAATGTAACTGATTACATCTGTTATTTCTAGTTAAGGTCTTTTGCACAGCAAAGTGAATGACACTGTGCCAGTTATAAAATTACCTTGCAGTTGCATGATTCAATATTTATATTATTTGTTTTGGTTCTAATTGTACATAATCACTGCTTCAGTGGCCACAACATTTTATTATTTTCAATCTATAATTAAGGCTCTAAAACATTTTATTTCCCTGCAAATCCATGCATTTTTGCTTCTGTACAGGATCTGAAATTTTCCCCATAAAAATTGCCAGTACTAACATGTAAAATTTTTCACAAATTACAAATCTGACAGTTTGGGTTCTTAGGAATTCCTTCTGGTTTGGAAGTACCTGTGCTAGGCACATCATGAATAAAATCTGGAGACAGATAAGAACAAAGGTTGATATTTTCTGTGTAAAAGATTTCAACCCAAATATTTCTCGAAGTATAGACATAGCTTGAATGTTCTTCTTCAGCTTTCATGAAAAATAAGTTATTGTAGGGATCAAGTGTAAGAAGTCTCTCCCTGCAAAATTGGTCTGCCCTTGATCCAGCTAAAGTGAGCACAAGGGTTACATAATGTGCTCTCCTATTGCAGTAAAAATCAGTAAAATAAAGATTTGTGTCTGCCACAAACAGGTCAGTTGGAGGGATTTTCACTCTCCTTGGACCAAAAAATGACCTGAGAGGAGGAAGTCCTGTCTGCAGGTCAGGTTTACAGGCAAAGAACAGTCCATCAAGTTTTCCATTAATTGGTGATCCTTGGTCTCCGTTATCGTCTTTTTTGTATACCTTCATTATTCCATCTGTTTCAAATATTTTATTAAAATATTCAACAGTTTTATTTCGATACAAGTAGCTACATTGAATCAGTTGACCACCACGATCCTTTGTAAAATGCGTTGCCCTTTGCAGCAGTTCTTTCAGTTCCGAGTTATTCAACTCTGCAAAGAGAACACTTAAAGCATGATTACTGATGAAATGTTATAACGTAAAATTTTATTGCATTTACCAACTTTCACTCTGAGGGAAAGATGTTCCAATATCTTTTGATGGAAAAAAATTGACCAAACTTACTTATAGTAAACAATCTGTTATGATTGTGCCACATGAGAAGATGATTTGATACCTGTTGATTGTTATATACATATTTAAAGAAGGGTCCCAATAAAGACACTTTTTGTATAAAAATGTCTTTTTTATGTACAGACAGTTACATGTCTGTACATAAAGCAGTCACCTGCATCTGTTTTTCCTTATGCTAGTTACATATTCTTAATCTGTGTTACTTTTTGTGCATAATTAAAATTTGGTGTTGATTTTATTGTTAAGCATTATTGTAAAATAATTGCAAATTGCATCAAAATTGACAAAATAACTTATTCTGTGCATCATAATTTTCTGCTTTTTGTCTGTACATTTGACAGTTTTGCTGTCTTGTCTTTGAAAACATCAACTTATGAACTGGTTTACCTAATGAAAAAAAATATTTTTAAAGGTATTTTAGCAAAATAAATATTGACATGTACATCTCACACTTTTTTAACAGGTAATGAATGGACATAAATCAAGGATTTTTAAAAAAGGTATATCTTAAAGGCAATGCTGTGGCATGGTCCTTTATTAAGATGAAAACCACATTTACAAAAAATAAAGATAAATAAATGAAAAAATGTAATAAAATGGCCCATCTTAAGTGACTTTTTTTTTTAATATAAATATATCTTACCTGCACGGAAATTTAATTCACCAAGAGAGTTCTTGTACGGATCCATTGTGTAGCCTGTAAGTCTGTATTCCTGTCCTGGCTTCAGCTTTAATTTTATGATATTGTCATCACCAAAAACTTGAAGACTCTCACCATTGTTAGGTTTGCTAGTATTGACCAAGTCGAGATGAAACCACTTGCTTGAGGGTTTAGGATCTGAGGTTTGAATTTTCACGTGGACATGGCTGGCACCTTTCTCTAGTACCATAAGTTGGTAAAATGGTTGTTTAGGCATCAACTAAAAATAATGATATAACATTCTTTTCCCTTTTTTTCTGTGATATGTTGTATAATGATTCTGAGATGGATGCTTTCTATGAGACGCCAATGGGCTTCATTGTTTACCCGCTTTAAAACACAAACAATATCTTTTTCAGATAGATTAAATTTTGTCAACTTATGAAATAGTTACATTATACAAAGTTTATCACTGAATTTTGTGGTTGTTATTGTATGAATCTGTTATTTATTGCATCCCTGTAGTAGACACATTGTGCATGAGAAAAATGAAATTACCTCTGGTCTTTCACTTCCAAATTGGGATGTGCTACTTTTTTTCTCTTCTGTCATTTTGGCAGGTTGAGATAAAAGTCTTATAATAGCTTCCAAGTGGGAACCACATTGAGTGTCTGAACTGATTTTTTGAAAGTTTGTGAATAGATATTTCACCACTTTGCAGTTCAGTTTCTGTCAAGTAGAAATGTTGATCAGTTTCACATTAGGTCCATTCAAATGTAACTTTCAATGTCTCCTGCTGATTCACTTGCTATACATGAAGTTTCAACATTTTCAAAAATTGATCTCCACCTGTAAAGAGAAATAGAAATTAGGTGTTTGTAACATTATGTAAAATACAGTTAAATACAGAATTTTAGTTCTCTTGTTAAAGAGGTATAAAGACATCTTGCAGGTTACTTACTAACACTGCGCTTAAAAAAATGCCTTTAAAGAAGGAACCACGGGCCACATAAACAGGTGGTGACATAATCTTTAAGGACAATAGTCATATAAAAATCCATTTCTCGAATTTTGAAGATTCAGCACTCAATCTATACACTAGAGGTATGTTTTAATCGATCCCCGCCATTTAAAAATTATAAAAACAATCTATTAGTAGTAAAAAAGCGTTTTAGTAAACCTCACCTCAATATGCATAAATGAAGCAACAGATCTGGGTCACGTGGTACTGTGACGACAATCACGATAAAGGTCTATGAGACTCAAATGAGCTGCATGGTGCATACAGACGGAGAAGTTAAGGAAAGTTGTGTTGAACGGAGTTGGTGGTTTAGATCATATCAAGAGCTGGTAGTCTTTCAGATTAACTGTCATCAGTTGGCAAACTTACTGATTGCTGATGCATTTTAAATGCATTGTAGTTGACCAAAAGCTCGTTTACAACAAACCTGTTAATTATACACCGCTGCAATTCCCAAGCCAGGTAATAACAGGTATGAAACTCGTCTTGGTGGGCTTTCATATTTTTCAATATATCTCATTTATTTCATGGGGTTATTTTATTGGTATTTGTAAATGACGTTAAATATCAATACTTAAACAATTAAGTTCAAACACGGTCGCAAACATTAATAAAAGAAATTGCTCTCAGGGTAGTTTGAAGCTTCCGTGGAAGAAAACGTGTTGAGGAAAAACAGGAAAAAGAGCGTTATATTAAAGAAAAAATGGGAACTGCTGTAATAAAATGGTTCGTTATCCTAATTCTTTTATGCTTTGAGGATTTCTTTCTGAAGATTATTTCATCTGAAATATTAAATAATTTAAAAGATTGATTATTTTATAACTTGAAACGCAAATTCTGCGTCAGTACGCA